CGAGAGAATGTTCTGAGCGAGATCAATGTGATACTGAGCAGCAATCGGACGCATAAGCACAGAAACGAAAAGGTATGTCGCCTGGAAAGAATTGCCGTAGCAGGCTCAGAAAACCTACATAGAGCAACAGGTCATCAATAATGCCACCCTAAGTGATGCCACAGCGCACTTTTTCACGTTTCGGTTGAATCCAGTCTCCATCTAATTGTTAGCTTCTTAGAGCTAACTCCCGAAGAAGCTCTGTGGTGAGGAGTTTCGCCCATTACTTCCCTTCCTTCGCTACTCCACCACGGTGACTGCGGCTACCTCTCCCTTACCCCATATGACTCCTCCCAGTTTCGGATCATCGATAGTACCAATATTCGTTGACCCTAGTACTTTGGGACACACATTAACTCCACCTCACAAAACTTCCCCGGAATTAACGTGCGGGTAGGAGAGGTACTGCATATGTCGCCGATAAAATTTTACTTTTGACGAAGTCGACTGCGATGCAGGTAAGATTTCTACTACTATAGCTTTATGAGTTTCTCAAGCAACAGGTAGGTCGCTGAAAGGTTGCCAGAGTGAAACCTCAGACCGAGAAAGGTGGAGCGGTCCTAAAGCACATAGGATGTGCCGACTTGATCGTACGAAGCTGCCGGGTAGAGGCACTGGGGCCTAGGGATCTTCGCATGCTCAATACAATGCCGGGGAGTTTCCTGTCAAAAATTGATGTCAGAATAGTGCCAGCGCTTGCTCACTCCAATGATCTCTCCTCCCCGACTCTTTCCCCGAGTCTCAATATCTTGATATCTTCTAAAAATCCTCTCACTATTCTACTTAACCACATAGAGAAACATGCCTTTCCAAAAAAAAAAAGCGAAAGACAGCCCTCTTATTGTTAGTGACCTTGTTTCTTGCAGAGCTACAAATGACGAGTTTGAACGAATTTTCAAAATTTTTCTGAGTTACAGCACGATTTTCTCCGAAACGAAGTCTATGCCCAACTCATTAGGTTGACAAGCGGGACGATGCCATTCGCAATTCAGGTGAGTATTTTATGTAAAGCGTTATCCTCCGTGCTCCAGAGAGGGCAGATACTGGCTTCCTTTCAAAAAGCAAGGTTATCTGAAAAAGCTGCCAATTTTATTGCTTGATTTTCTGCTTGGTGTGATACCAACAGCTCTCTGGCCCTATTGAGCACCCGACTTGCACCTTTTTGGCCTATATTGTTTTGAATAGATTCTTGATGAGCTTTGTCAAAAACTCCTCTGGGAAAATCTCAGTCGCATTGGGAAAACCATTTTTACTTGGTTTTCCCTTATGTATGTTACTTCTACCGTTTTCCAATCGACGGATCCATTTTTGTAAAATGTAAAAACAACCGACTTTGTTTAGCCTCAAGTATAGAGGAGGCTTCTGTGCCCTCCTACAACTTGCCACAGTACCGTATAGCTCCTACCCCTCCAAGTCAGCATTTACAGGGCTGGAAACTGTTGGCGATGGCGATTCCACTTTTCGTCCCGACGCAATACTCTCTTCTTTGGTTACTCAAAAAGCACGTCGCTCGATGGTGTATGAAGACGTGAGTAATGTGTTTTAAGTTTTATTCGGTTGCTCTTTGTGTTCTGATTATTTATTTTGTATTTATTCACCTATTCATTTATCCATTTACACTTATATATTCAGTCTTCGAATTAAATTTTTACCCTTGCAGAGGTGATGAGTCGAATATGGCCGAGTATTGTCAGCGAGCGCTTGAACGGGTTCTGCGAGTGGGATGCCGAGAAGCTGGCCCAAGTCGACTTGAGACCACTTCGGTTCTCACCAGAGATCCAACCAGTACCAAGTTCCCTCATTCGATCTCGGTTCGACTGCCAAACGGACAGTATCAGGTAAGCAATTCGCTCAGAAGGCGCTTGTGGTAATAAGAAAAAGAAAATATAGTATCTAGCAAAATTTCCCAGCGACATGGGGCTCTACTGTGAAATGACCGACATTTGCCTGGATTTTTTAATGATCTTCCTGAGAGTTTTTGAGAACATCTTGAACGGTAGTCTGGGCAGCTCGCATGATGAACTTTTCAGGTGGTCGAGTTCGACGGATCCAC